GACTGAGCTGCATAAGAAGCCTGGGTGGTGGTGACTGCAGCAGTGGTGGCATCATAAGCACCAGTGCCACACCCCTGGACAGGTTGGCTATATGCCTGGGGGGCAGCTGGAGTAGTATAACCAGTGGGAGGCTTCCATAAGAAGTTGCATACGCAGTCTGCCCATAGGTGGCAATGGTCTGAGCTTGGGTATAGCTGACATCAGAGGCTGTCCATAGGTTCCATAGCTTTGTTGCACATATGCCTGGTGGTCAGTGCATATACTTGAGTTGGCTGGGTAGTGTAAGCGCTGTAGTCCTGCTCGGCTGCAGCTTGGCTGTAGGTACTATAATCCGTGGACGCCATTTTCTCTCCTTCCTCCTTGTTCTCTCAACGTCCATCACCCTCTCGCCTTTTCTCTAGTGCTACGTGTTTTGGATCACTTATTTTTCTTCTGGAATGAGGACAACTTCCTAATTCAACAACAAGAATGATGCGCATTCACACAACGACATCGCTGGTCCTGCGCTCACTTCCCAGCACACAGATGGACAGGTGCCCCTCTGTCACCAAGACAGACAGCACTTGCCTCCGGGGCTTCCGGCACAGTCCCTCCCTCTTACTTCCAATTGCCAGTTCTCTCAGGCAGGCACTGGTGCTGCTTGCAGGGCTTATGACAGCTTCCTAATCCACTGCCTCGTCTCCATGCTGACTGACAAATCTCTTGGGCTGAAACACGTCCTGGTCTCTGGAAATGCGGCCTGACTTCCCCGGGAAGGTGGCGGGGAGTGTATCCATGGCTGTTTGTCCACCATCCTTATTGGCTAGCCACCGTGGAATCTGTGTCCCCAGGCTGGAGCAGGGCTCTGGCCTCATCTTATCGGCCACTGGGCATTTGCTCAGCTGCTCTTTCCAGCTGGTGCGTTTCACCATTTTCGTCCCCCGAAGTCCTCCTGACCCTGCTATCTAAGCTCCGACTCAAATTCTGTCTCTTCTAGGAATTGTTTCTTCAAAGCCTCAACCCACACTGCCCTCTCCCACCTCTGCACTCCCGTATTTTATGCATTTCTTTTTTACCATTTATTTGAAGTGTGAGTTCAGTGACATTGCATGCATTTCCAGTGTCGTGCAGCCGCTGTCACCATCCACCTGCAGGATTTACTTATTTAGCACACTGGAATTTATACAACTACTCACACTTGCCTCCCCTCCTCAACTACATTCTTTCTACCTACTTTAGGAATCTTAATTTCTTCTTTTTCATATATCCATTAAAATTAAGTATTAAAATCATTCAATTCCCTTGGCCTGCTGGGTCTACATTCAACATGTTTCAGGATGTCCTGGAGAAGCTAAGGATTTTACCTCTGGACAGTTCCTAGGCTAACTCCAAAATGTGTCTAAGTACCCACATTTTTATTTCAATGAAGAGCGTCCTGAATTTCATTACATGATCCCAGAATGGATTTTATTTGTTGGTGCCCTCTATATTTGCTATCATAACCAGTAGTCTAGAGGCAAGAGCAGGGCTCTGGTGATTTGGGACAGATTCTAGCCCTTTTAGCCTGAGACACCTTGGTGGGTCCCTTACACGCTGAGTCTCTGCTCCTTACCGGGGTAACAGTGGCCTGCCTTTCACGCTGGTTCATCTGGGGACTTCCCAAGAGAATGCTTTGCTTCCTGGTTGGGTCCTGAGCTCCTCTCCTGGGCTTGCTTCTATTCAGACAGCCAAGATTCCAAGCGCCTGTCAGGCTCTCGGCTCGCACAGGCACCTGGCATGCCTCGATGAGCAAGGCAGGGTCCCTATGCTGTGGCGTTCAGTGCTAGCACATGTCGCATGCTCTTGTGTTCCTTGTCTGCGTCTTATCTGCTAGCTCATGATGACCCATTTGGTTGTCTTATCTCTAGGACCTTGTACCATGCACATATATGTGCTCATGTATGGAATGAACCTGAAAGTGTTTTGTAGATTAATAAAGGTTGAAGGCTTGTTTGAACCCACACTCAATCCCAGTAGGAGTTGCTTTACTTCAGATACT